CTCACAAGCCACCCCCTCCCTGTCGCTGATTGGGTGCACAAGGGTGCAACACGATTTGCGCCAGGCCAAGTGCCACCGCTGCAATCCACATCCCGCTCCTCAGCTCCGCCAAATGCTTGGGGCGGTCCCCAAGCGCTGCAGCCAATTCGCGCGCTTGTGCAGGTTGCCTTTGACGCTCTCGCGGCCGGCATGCTGGTCACTATCATCCTTGACACCTGGCGCATCACGTTCGGCGGCATCGTGGACAGCGACAAAGCGGCGGCGGGCCTGACCTGGGCGGCGTGAGCGCAGCGGCGGCGCAGCAGCGACGGCAGGGTCCCCTGCGCGGTGCGGCCTTTGGCGCCCTGGCGGCGTCAGACCTTGCAGGGGGGCGGCTGGTGATGTAGCATGCAGGCCGCGGTGCAAGAGATGAAATAGCGATTTGGGCGGGGCTAAGGACAGCGGGCCTGCTGGTAGCACTTGCTCACCAATAGCAATACTGAGTGCGTTTGATGTTTGGGCAATTGTTGAATCGCGTCACTCTTGGCTTTGCGTTGCACTATGGAGTGGCCGCGCCCTCGACGCGACCCATCGCTTGGCCCTGAGAAGAGGACGAATGACACCTCCTGACAGCTGAGCCTCACGGACTCTACCACACGCGCAGCGCAGCGCCTGATTGCTCGGATGTCTTCACAGATTACACAATTTGTGCGTGCGTCACGGCCCCGGCCACACAATACCCAAAGTGGCCGCCAACGCAGTCTCTCCCTGAGGGTGTCAAACTTGCAAGGGCGCATCCCATATGTAGGTGTGTCAGATGTCATGGCTGCTGCAGTCAAATAGCAGGCGGCTGCCTGGCGGAAGGAAGCGCTACTTGGCCATGGCACAGCGCACCAAGCACTGCGCATGTCGCGCTGTATGTTGATTGTGCAGATTGTGAAACAGTGTTTGTGGTATCAAACAGCGCTCAGGATTGTTCAAACAGCGCTGCCACCCTCAAGGCTTGCCAGCCGCATCTTGCCATGCCCCCTCTCGTAAGCCGTGCAACACCATCAGCCACCACGCATAGGTTGGACTGGGCCCGGGGGCCTCCAGCCGCCGCTCATGAGACCGCAGTCAAGCCTAGCCAGGCAAAATCAGGGCGCATTTGTGCCCCAGGCGTTGCAAGGGGTGCGACGTTCATGTCGTTGGGGGCTTCGAGGAGAAGGAAGCGGGTGGGAGGTGGGGGGGCACCATTGACACTGGGCGCGTCACCGCCTGTGATGTCATCACATCATCATCAGCTTCCTGCCGGCAGCAGCGCCCGGCGCGGCTTCGGCCACAACGACCTGGTGTGTGGAGGGACGGTTGGACGGAGGAGGGGCGGTTGGCATGGGGCTAGGGCGGCGGCGGGCGGGGCGTCGGATAGGGCAGGGCTGAGGCGGTGGGCCGGGCCTGGGAACGAGTCACATCCAGGGGCATCCAACCGCCTGGCACTTCAAGAATACTTTACAGGGCTGTGCTGGCTTGGCAATGGCAGGCTTCGCGCGTCCCACCCGCAGAAATGAGAGGGGGTGCAGCTCGCAGACCCACCTCGGTGGAGCTGGCGGCACCGCCAGCAGCAACGGCCGGAGCGGCGTCAACGGCCACGTCCACAGCGACCGGGGCGGCGGCGGTGGGGGCAGTGGCGGCGGCGGCGGCGCCAGCGTCGGGGGAAGCGTCGGGGGCATCGCTCTTGGATGCCAGGAGGGAGTTGATCAAATCAGCCTTGGCCGCCAGGATCTGGTTCAAGAAGCTGATCTGCGGGTTCAAGAATTGACGGGGAAATGTTGAGGCCTGCTGAGACGATTTGGGTTGCGGCAAGGTGCAAGAGGAGACACGATTATTAAGGTGGGAGCTATGAGGGAGCTGCGGCCGCCGCCTGAGCGTGCCCTGAGCACGGCTCGCCAGGCTTCTGGCCGGGCGCGGCCTCGGGTAAGCAGGCAAGACGGGAGAGCGGGCTGAGGAGCGAGCTGGGCAGGCGAGCGAGCAGCTCAAGCGTTCAAGCCAGCCCACAGCTACAGCGGGAACGCGCTGATGCAGTTCCCATGCTCACCTTGGCATTGATGACGCCAGTGGCCCCATCAACAATCGACTGGTCAGCGCGCGCGCCTGCCACCAGCACAAGGGCGGCAAGGACAAAGACGACGGCCTTCATGGCGGCTGCGGCACCGGCATTGGAGGATGTGGAGGGAGGGGTGACGGGTGGTGAGGATGGAGCCCAATGGGGAGGCCGGCAGGAGGCGGAGGGGTGCAGTGGGCTGCGTTGACGGGTGGCAGAATGCCCCTTAGTGGTCGTGAGTGTCGATTCCAGCCATAGTGGGTGTGCCGTGGCTATGCCGGTGGCTTGGGTGATGGCCCAGGCTGGCTACTGAGTCACCCTCACGGGGTGACATGCGGCTTTAGCGCAGTCCAGGCGTCTGGGTATGCGGTAAATCATTGAGCATCCACCTTTGGGGTCCGTGTGCCGGGTTGGGGACGGTGAAGACCTGCGAGACGGCCATTTTGAGGCAATGGCAACCTGACACGTGGATTTCGAGGCCCACCTGGCGTCTACACAACATGCACTTTGATAGCTGGTGCAATAGCGCAGTCTTCATTGCTTTGGGGCGTGGACGCTGCGCGACAGGCCAAGGGCAATGTCCCAGTGCCAAAGATCTGCGTGTTTGCTCACCGTTGACAGCTTTCGCAAGTGATAGAGCTTGCTGGAAGCAGTTGGATGATAGTGTGCCACGCCAAAACGCTTTATGAAATAAAGCCTGCCCGATTGCAGGCTGCGCAGGTGAGCAGAAGCGGTCAGGCACCGCACCAGCAAGTGACGGGGTTGTGAGGCGGCTCTTCAAAATTATAAGCGCACGTGTAAGCGTCTCAAACCTGCGGTGGCCGCCACATGCCGCCGCGAAAGTCCGGGCCTGTCGGTGATGGCTGTCGGTGAGCAGTTTGGGCACGCCGCAGTGTCGTCCGAGATTCCCATAATCTCATGAGCCAGCCCAAGCCATTCAAGATGCTAGCCAAGCACACAATATCCCCCCTTCTGTTGCAGGGGCCACTCATCACTTCACAGAATTGATATCTGCAGGCGGCTGCGTGAAGTGCTGCAGCCATCAACAGCTGCACCCCGACACCGAGATTTGTCAACGCACTACCCACATTGAATAATGCCAATCACTGCACAACACATGCTTCGTGCCATCCTGCACACCACATGAAAGCACACCACTTCCATCTGTCACACTTCACTTCACCTCCTAGCGTGCTATCAATGCGGCTCTCACCCTGGCCAGTCAGCCCGTTCAACCTCGCAGGACGTGCTTACACGACATTTGTGCTGTTCGTATTTGGACTGCGTTCCTGCGCATCTGCCGCATGCACACATGAGTTGTGGCCATCCACAGCCCGCATCAGTCATCGTCAACCAGCCAGTATGCTCCAAGCGCCGAGCTGCACGCTTGATGTCAGCATTGTGGCCACGACATGCAGCACACCGTCTTTACGTCGGTACATGCGGTAGTCTGCAAGCTTTTATGGGTGCAAGTACACATTTGAATGGATCAGCCTGTGATTGTTTTTGGGCTGTTGCAGTGTTGTTCAAGGGCCTTCGTTCAGCTGCAAGTCGAGAATTAGGTGGTAACCACCCTGCACACGTTGCGGCACTCCCTGCCTCTCCCTTCACCCCTGAGCTAATTTGTGTGCAAGGTGTTTCAAAATCAGAACCCACGTGATCACAAAATTAACAACCATGCTTGGACAGCAAGCAAGCTTTCACATTCCCAAGCAGGCAGTCGCCCGCCCACGCCACGGCAATTCAATGCCTGCAGCCGCGGGGATGCAACGACCTGCCTCCGATGGCTGATTTCGCCCAGGCAGGACCATGCTGCGCGCCGGCCGCAAGCGCTGGCAAAGCGCCTGAGAGAATGCGCTGCACATCCACGCTGGTGCCTCTCCAGCAGGGTGGAAACGCTCTAGGGCTTGGGGCCCGCAGGCACAACGTTGGGCTCGGGCTTCGCCACGACAGGCGCAGTCTTGGCGGCGGGCGCGGCCTTGGCAGCAGGCGCGGCGGCAGCGCCGGGCGCAGCCTCGGCGACAACCACCTGCGCGACATGTTGAGAGGCGCGGAGTGTTAAGGAAGGAGAAGATGCAGTGCTGCGCATTCGGTTCGGTTGAATGTGTCGCAACAGGCTGCAGGCCCGCATGACACGCTCAACAGCGACATTGTGCCCACCTCGGTCGCACCGCCAGCAGCGGGGGCGGGAGCATCGACGGCCACATCAACAGCGACGGGGGTGGCCGCGGCGGGGGCGGCATCGGCGGGGGCGGCGGCCTTGGCGGGGGCGGCGGCCTTGGCCGGGGCAGCACCCTTGGAGGTGACGGAGGAGATCACGGAGTTGATGGTGGCGGTCTTCTGGGCCAGGAGGGCGTTGATGTCAACGGCCTTGGTGACCTGGTTGATGAAGTCAACCTTGGCCTGCAGGCGGGCGGGTATGACCCCCGTGTGAAGCAGAACAGGGCAGGGTTCAAGAACAGGTGCGTTTGGGACTTTCAGTTGGTGTTGGGCTGGGTGGACGCCACCACACTGTTGCAGTGCCAAGTGCTCGTGCATTCCGCAATCCGCGTCCCTGAGGCTGCGCCAGCATGCTGCACCCCTGCCCTGCCACAGCCGGGCTGATGGAGCACTGCTTCTTCCAAAATCAGTAGCCCTGCTTCCTCCGCACCTTGAGCACGGCCTGGGCGGCATCAGTGCCCTGGCTGATCAGGCCGGCCGGGGTCTTGAGGAGCTGCGCGAATCAAGGGGCGCAAGGCATGCACAAGCTCTTGAGGTCCACGGACTGACCTGCCATCTGTTGGCAGCTAAGCAGGCTGTTTACTGCACCAACAGGGCCACAAATAAATCCCTAAAGGTTGCTTCCGCCCGGCGTGGCGAGCCAGCAGAGGCAAAGGCTGGCAGCGGTGCAAATTGACAGAAGCAACGGCACTTGGGCAGCGCGTGGGAGCCAGGCAGGCGCATGGGATCTCACCCCGTTGAGCAGGTCGAACTTCTGGTTGATGAGGCCGCTGACGTCGGGCAGGCCGTTGGCGCTGGCGCCGGCGACGCACAGCAGGACCACGGCGCAGAAGATGGCGGACTTCATGGTGACTGGTGGGGTGACGCCCGGGGTGAGCAGGGGATGCTTTTCTGAGGTGATAGGGCGCTGGTGGAGCGTCCAGCCCACAGGGCAGAACAGCCGCAGCCCATGTGGGGCTCAGGGGATTACACTGGCGTGTGACTGCGTCAAAAACTGCTGCCTCAGCCGCCTGCCGCCACTGGCACTCCCCCGCCGCTCGTCGAGGCGGAGGCGCTGCCTTTAGACCAAGGGTTTGGTGACTGCCGTGCAGCCCCGGCGGCCGGAGCCAAGCTGCGCGAGCCCGCTGCTGCGCCCGATGGCAGAGCATCCTCACCAGGGTGGGGCTGGCGAGGGAAGGAGGGGATGCAGGTAGCAACTCGAGCTGCGCGTATGATCCCAGGGGCAGGGGGGCGGGGGCAGGGGGAGCACCGGGGGTGGGTCAGGCAGGATCTCCGCGCAGCTGACCCAAGGGTACAGGTGCGGTATGGAGATGCACCCAGACGCTCGCGGCTTCGAGGAGCCTGTGCCCAACGCTGGCATGATGACATGCCCGTGGGTGGAGGCTGAGGCGCGAGATGATTCGCGGAGCTCATGAGCTAACTGCGTGCCCAATTCACCTTGAGTGCTTGCTGCGAATGAATTGGTTGTGGGAACGGGGGTAGGGCCTCAGAGCCTTTTTAAAATCTTCCGCCCTCCATGGTCGTGGCCATTGGCCGTGTCCGACTGAGAGACCACCGCGTTTTCACGGGTGACTGCAGCCACCGCCCGCCTCCAGTTTTTACGGCTTGTAATCCCGTTCATCACTAGGCAGGAAACCTGGGGCACGGGCGCACCCGCTGCCGCCATGGCGATGCGCGCACACGCAAGCTGGCGAGCACGACCGGATGGCACCACCATCAACCTTGTCTGGCGATCACCCCCTGCTGCACCATAGGCCCTCTGACCCGCCACACCTCCCAAAAGTCAATATTTTTGTATCTGATGCTGCACACGACTGCGCTAATGTCCTCGATCGCCCCCTCAGGTTGTTCGCCCAGACTAAGCTGCAGGAGAGAGAGATCCGCAATGTCAGCCCAAGCAAGTTGTGCCTCATAGGCCCGATGCTACGCAAGCGGACCCGTTGACTCGACTCAGCTGCAGACGGCAGCCGTACTTGAGACCTGCCAACACTATCATCTCCAAGTCTCCCTTCTTGCAATCAACGGCCTCGGGCACACAACAAAGTGCTTCAAGTGTATGTGTCGCCCAACCGGCAGTAGGGCAAAGACCATGCCATGTCCCCTGGCATGTGCCCCCATGTTGCGCCCTACGTGTTGCCTGCACCAACGCTTCCAACCTGCAAGCGCCCAGTGGTTGCATGTCACAGTGCAGGGATGTTCGCAGCCCTATTAGTCGAGTGTTTTCTGCTGCTGGCTGGGCAGCAGCTTTGCGGGCGAAGCATGCGTTGCTGGATTAGGGTTGCGTCAACTTCCTCTATTCTGCACCTCGCAAATATTCAAAAACAGAATGCGTGCCACGGGTGTTGCAGCTCGCCGTGTACGCAGGGGCCGCAAGCCACGTGAGCGGATCTGTTGGGGTTGGTAGGTGGTCTGCTCTCTGCTGCTGGTACCTAGGCCACAACTTTCCAACCCTCGTCTTAATCAGTTTCTGAATTCATCCCCGGCGTACCCTGGACATCTTCCGGCGCCCTGGACAGCGGTGCGTCAAGTGATGAGACGTTGCTTGCTTGCTCCATCTAGCTGGTGGGATTCCTTTGCAAGGACAACGTCGAGCTCCACATGCATGCACCATCAACTTTGGCTACGGACAGCGCACATAAACTGCACGCCATGGCTTCCCAAACCTGCGACACGCACAGCTGACACGGGCGGCCGCAGTGCCCACGTGCCTCTTGAGTGCCTGCATGAAACACCGCGTGAACTCAATGACTCAACTGGAGCTCACGCACGTGTGGTGGACCCACACTTTGTTTGCGCTGGTGTTGCCGCACGCACACAAATCTTGACTGCTGCTTGATTGTTGCACAACTCCTGCGGCGCATTCAGCAGCAACCCGGGCCCCACCAGCAGTCCTCACCGGTGCCAGCAGCCCCGTCACCCACGCAACCGCCTGTTGCAAACTTCATGCGATGGTTGGCAGTTGTACATCACTGTCGTGTATCGTGCTATTATTTTGGGTCCGAATTGCCGCTTTGCTCTCATTTTTGTATCATGCCGGAAGGCCTCGATTTTCCAGCACAAAAAGTTGGCTGATGATAGGCGCAGAGCTCCGCGGGTCGTGCATAGTGTGCGGCAATAATTCCTAGCGCATTGTTTGCATCATTCAGCAGTGGCTGAGGGGTCAACGCAACCGTTTGCATTTGCGTGTGCAGCGGTGCGCGTGCGGCCCTGTGAGCCACGCTTGCGCGTGCGCTGCGGTGGCCCGCTTGGTCGCCGAATGAGCTGCCCGTACGCTGCACTCGGCGTGCAGCGCGGCGCGGGTATTGACGAGATCAAGCGCGCCTACCGGGCCTTGGTCGTCGAGCACCACCCGGACAAGCACACCACCGCGCCACAGGCGCAGCAGGCAGCGGCCGCGACGCGTTTCAAGGTGCGCTCGCGCCCTGGCGTAGGGCGTTGGCGCGGCTGGGTGAGGGGATGCCGTGAAGCTGCTGCGGCGCGCAGTGCAGCAGTTCCCGCGTCGGATTTTGGGGGGGGAACAACAGCGCGGCAAGGCGGCGAACATTTCCCCACATCACTCGGCAAGCCGGCTCATGGCGCTCCACTCATCCTCTCTGGCCCCGACTGCAGACCATACAAGAGGCGTACCAACTGCTCTCAGATGGTGGGCGCGCTGGCCGCAAAAACAAACCATGCTTGCCCTGACAGCCCCGCCGCGTCCTTCACGACGCCTGCTCACGTCGCCTCCGTCCACCCTTCTCGGCCCCACAGCCCCAAGACACCGCGCCCCCGCCCGGCCCTCCCGAAAACCGCCCGTCCTCCAGATCGCAAGCGGTCCGCCTACGAAGCGGCGCGCGCCTCGGGCCGCGGCCCTTACAGCGCGTATGGCCACGCAGGGGTCAACACTGATTGGACTACGAGCAGCGGGTACGCCCGGGGCAGGAGCACTGCCGGCTACACCAGCCGCCTCAGTGAGCAGCAAGCCGGCCACGACGGGCGGCGGGCGGGGTCCGAGGCTGGGGTGCGGGGTTGAGGGGCGTAGCCTGTGTCCCGTGGTGTGTGCAAGCTCACCATATGACGAGTTTGCGTCCTGCTCACCGAGGCTGCATCGCTGCGCATGCCACCGCTCTTTGTCGACGTCCCTGGCCATGGCAATGCCGCACAGCATCTGAGCCACTCGCATTGCTACACGTCAACCCCAATCCCCAGGCCGCTGGGAGTACCTGCGGCGCCGCGCCAGCCAGGGGATGCGCTCCTTCGACCAGCCGCTGCATATAGGGCTTGCCCTCCTATTCGTGGGCGGCGTGGTGCTGTTCGACACGGCTTACACTTCCATCTGGGAGGCGCGGAACAAGGGCAAGCGCTTCGAGGACATCCAGGCGGCGAAGCAGCAGGCGGCGGCGGCAGCAGCAGCAGCAGCAGCTCAACCGGCTGCTTCAGACACAGGGCAATCTGGGTCGGAGGATGCACCTGGCGGCGGCGGCGGCGGCGGCGGCGGCGTGCGAAGGAGCGCGTGGCTCGACAGCATGCGTGGCAGGGAGGTTAAGGGGCAGCAGCAGGCATCAGTCGAACCGGCTTCGGCAATTCCGCGAGACGTGGACAAGGCCGTGTTGCTGCGAGCCAGCCCAGCAGGGCAGATGGGCGGGCATCGGGGCTGATTGCCTGCTGTGTTTCTTTGCAACAACGCTCATGTTTGACAGTGTTGACTGGTGCCAAACACCCTGGGGCTGCTGTGTAGTGCTAGCATGGGAAGCTACCCTGCAGCTTTCCTGTCGGTTGATCATACTGCGGCCATGGTTCTGGAGAGAGTGGCAAGGGGTGGGGCAAGGGGGCGGCTGGTGGGAATCGCCGGCCAGCCAGTTGAGTGTGAGAACGGGATGCCTCTCAAATCTGTAGTGCCCGCACCACAAATGTTCCGTTCAGCAAACAAATCGAGTGCAATCAAGACCCAGCTGTCCGCACGGTCAGCTGCGGGCACACGCGATGATGTGCAGCAGCTGGGCTTGTACTTTGGACACTTTTTGCGCTGCACGAGCAAGGCTGAAGGCTGCTTAGCATGCACGTATGTGTTTGAGTATGCATTATCAATCACACTCAGCGGCTGTTCTACAGCTGTGGCACGCAGACCGCACTCGACTGGCGCCCCATCTACATCGGAGGCTTCGTTCTGGGCCGCACTGATCATCAATAGTCCATTAAATTATTGCAACATCCAGAATTGCTGATGCCTGTTGAGCGGGCCAGCACTGGCGAGTCTGCAGGACAGCAGCAGGGGGGCTCCCCGTTTATACACCAGCTGCGCGAGCTGGTGCGTAAGCGGATCCACACTGAGGATCCAATATGCAACTTGCATGCCGCGGCCGCTGTGTGTGCATGCTGGTGGGAGCAACGCTCCATTTCGGTTGCGCACCGCTGCATGTCGCGCCACTGGCACAACCCCCCCCCCTGACTGGCGCCCCGCCCGCCGCTTTCCTTATCCTTCGGCGCAGTACCAGCGCAGCCTGCGCGCCCGCGAGCTGGCGCAGCGAACGCACGCCGTGGCCGCCGCCGCGCACTCCGGTGAGGGGCGCCCGGACCCCGATGAGCCGTGTCCTATGACCACTGACGAGGAGGACGCACTCGACGACGACCGCACCACCCTTCAGCGGCTGCGCGCCCTCGTCGGGCCGCCGCCACCAGCC